GAATTTCCAGAGTGCTCAGGATCATCATCAAGTTAAAAGGACTGCTTGGGATAATTTCAACGAGAATCCATAGTTGAATCAATGGCAGTAAGCTCCCTGGTCTCCTAGGGCAGTGAACTCCAAACCATAACATTTATCCCATCATGCTTAATGGTTGATATGGGGATCGCTTCCTGAAAAGCTGCCTGTCTTTAGTCTGTCTTTCCAGAGGACATTTTTCTAAAGGGCCTGTTGTTCTCTGGTAAAATGTAGCTTTGCTCTAATGTGCTTTTTGGACATCAAATGTGGTTCCTGGCAATCCTCTCGTTCAGATCAAATTCAGGCAAACCCTCTGTGATTGTTGATGCCTACAGATCCCAGGATCTGTAGGCATCAACACTTCTCTTTGCTTTTCTGTCAATTAAACTCCTGGACAAATTGTTTCCAATTTTGCACCATTTCTTGATGATTTTTCTTAAAATTGAATGATTCATTCACATACTGTATTTTGAAGGTATTTTTAAAATTCCCGTGTGAGACTAACATGCATGCAGTGTGGCGATTACCTGGTAACGTGTAGAAGTTTATGTGTAATAACCAGTAATCCGTCCATCAGAACCCAAAACTAAACATTTCCATACATTTCATAGTGGTAGTTCCTACAACTGAAAATGTAGGACCAGAAATTATCTTTGTAAAGAGTTATTATTATGAATGAAACAATATTTTACGTTACTGTGATATGAATAAATAACAACAGCAATACAGGCTGAATGATGGTCAGACCATAGTTCTTAAAAACCATAGTTTTTAAGAACTATGGTCTAACTTCATAGTTCTTAAAAAATATCTACTGATGTGCAAATACAAGACACTGTAGCTCCCCAAACCATGCTCTGATCACACTACAAGAGGTATAAAGGTACTAAAATCAAGAATTACTATATTTTAACATAATGAACATAAAAATTTATCTTTAAATTAATTTTAGTTTACATTAATAATGACATTCAGTCATCAATACTATTTTAATAATTAACTTATTAACGGTCATCTTTGGTTAGGGGTCATTGGAAAATCTACTCAACATGAAATAATAGGTTTGTTTCAACAAACATTTACAGTTGCCCTTACAGCAAAATAATCTGAATATAATGTAATGTATATAGGCTTAGTTCCTGTAAATCACACTTTAGAAATATTAACATTTTTCTAGCATATAAGATAAATGCCAGACAAACATGCTGTGATGCAGTTTTGCAGATTTACATTGTGTCGCTTACAAATACAGAAAATCTATGAGGAGTCTTAATAATTTTATTTGGCATTGTTCACGACATGAAACAAAATCATAACCAACCCTGGGTCCACATGAACCATGTGCTATTAAGACCACAACGATCTAATTTTCCTTTCTTTGGAAGTTTCTTTTCACCATGTTGCCTGTTCTTCCACCAAACCTCCCTACTACCCTTTCAAAATAAAAGCCCCACACTTGACAACAGACTAACAGGGCTAACTAACAGTCAATAGGTTATTAACACAGAGGTAAATAAAGGGAGGCATTCTTGTATTTTGTGGCCCTCATTCCTGGTTATTTCACAAAAAGTACCACACTTGTTTCCATAATGTTTCCATAGTTACCTTTAAACAAAGAAGAACACTGGAGACATAATGTAGTGTTAATTCCAGCATTATAATATTTTAATAGGTTAATGATTACCTTTGTATTTCCAGCTTACTATGCCACTATTACTACATTATTAAGGTGTTGTAATTGAAAGTACTACTGGCACCTAATCTGAATTCTCTGGATATGAATATATCATAGATGCAGGGGTGTAACTCTTTTTCCTTGTGAAAAATCTATTCAGCTTACTGCTTACCCTAGTTAGGGTCTGTGGATTTGAGACTATCCCAGCTGCCACAGGGTGAAAGGTGAGGTACACCCTTAATACGCCCATCCATGCTTATGGCCAATTTAAAATCCCCAGTTGGTGTCTTTAGACTCTGATGGAAAACTGGAGCATCCAGAGAAAACCCCTGCAGACAAAAGTAGAAGATAGAGCTAAACCTTCTTTCTGTGAGGCAAGATTATCCATTGTCTCTGCAATTTACAGTTCTTTTTCACATAACTGTACTTGCTGTAGCTTACGGCCATCTTTTCAAAGAATTTGTGAAGTTGTACTCCAAATAGATGTTGAGCATAGATGAAGCTAGATAAAGAAACTAGATGAGGAAACTGAGAATAAGACTGGCTCTACAAAATGAAACCCCACCAGCTGGTTTCCTGCTTTCTTAGTTTCTCTTGTGAAATACTGATTGGGTTTCCTTTAGCAACAAGTTTGTTTGTTTGTTTGTTATATAAAAAAGAAAGAGAAACACTCGACTGACAACTTGGATAACATTTTAAAGGCTCAGAACACATGTAATGGGAAATTTGTGGTCTCAATGCTTTTACATGCCAGCAGTCCTCTACTGTAATTTTGACTTTCACATAAGTGCTAGGGCTGATTTTAGAGGTAGGTCAAACCTCAGGGCTGATAGGAAGATAAATAACGGATACCGAAGTCTGAGAAAAGCAGAAAAACAATGAATTGATATACCTTTATTAGTCCCACAAGGGGAAATTTCATGAGTAATTCTTGGAATGAAAACATTTGTGACACTATCCTTTACATTAGTTGTTATTGTTGTTTCTCCCAAGGAATTCTGACGCATTAAAAGTGTGACTCGTTTAATCTGTTTCCTCCACCTCGTACCTTCGGATGTTTCCTCCCTTTGTTTCTCTCAGACACATTTATACCCTGTCTCACTTCCCTGAGCTGTCACTGGACTTTGACTCAACTGTTATAGTTAATCAATCATTAAAAGCATGAAGCAATTTCAAGCAAACTACTATTACCACTGATATCAAAAGTAACAGCCAGAATTTGGTAGGTTTTGAGTAGTTTGACATGCCAGTGACAGTTAGTAGCTGACCACAGAGAAACACAGAGGGAAGACAGCCAGCAGGACACAAATAGTCCCCGTTTTGAAAAAGAAGTGCAGACAATGCAAAATGTGGGTGGTACAAAGCCCAGAGGAGTTTTATGTTTTATTCAACAGGAAAGTTAAACTCCAAGAAAATTCCTAAGGGCAGTGAGGCACTCACAGAACTTTGGAAAGAAGTTTAGTCATGAAGAAGTAAGAAAAAGCCCAGAGCCATGTGTGGGCACTGGAACAGAAATCTGTGTGCACTCTAGCTGATTTTTTAAATTAGCCAGTAGCACCTGTTAGCCTAGATACAGGTATGAATATAACAGATCACATGTGCCATCTGATGATCTCATCATGATGGAACAAGGAGTTCATGTCTGATATTTCACCACATCCATAAGAATAAAGAATGTCACAAAAAAGCCTTTAAAAATGAACATGGACACAGTACAAATGTTAGTAAGTGCCACTCTGAAACAAAAGAATCTATGAATACATCAGGTTGGCCTCTCAGGATGAACTGCTACAACAGAGCGCTGTGCAGCAGCAGAATGAAAGAGATTAGAAAGAAGAGGAAATGTTGTGGAGGACCAAGCCCATCCATGGGATGTAATATTAGCAAATAGAGGAAGTGACGGACATCGAATCCTGTGAGTAGCTGGAAAAGTCTAGCCAGTACCATAGTACAGAGGCTCTGATCGTGGCAGCATCAATAACCCAGCACCAGATTAATATTCAACCAAGCTAAGGCGCACCCCGGGTGAATGTGGTCCTGACGATCCACATAGAAATAAGGTTTAATTTGCAATTTATCATCAGAAAGTATTAGCACCTCTATTAAAAAAATTTTTAAAAAAATTGCAGTTTGTGGATATAGAGCATAATACTGTGATAAAAAAAGAAACTGTAAAACACCCAACAGCTAAATCTCACACTCTACAGGCCACAGTTAGCATGTTAGATGTTAAAGTTGATGACAATTAGAAAAAGACTGAACAAGTATGGCTTTTCTCTAAAAAGAACATGACTGCACGTCGTAGGTTTGCTAAGTTGCATCTGAAACCACAATACTTCTGGAACAATGTCCTTCAGACAGATAAGATCAAAGTGGAGCTATTTGGTCATAAAGTGCAGCATAAACACAGCATATCAGCACAAACACCTTGTACCAACTTTCCAGTGAAGGTGTGTTGATTTGGACTTGTTTTGCAGCCACAGGCTTTGGGCACCTTGCAATCATGAAGTCGACCGTGAACTCCTCTGTGTACCATATTCTAGAGTCAAAGATGAGGCCATCTGTCTGACTGACTTGGCAGAAATTTGGTCATGCAGCAGAGCAATGACCAGAACAGAATGCAACAGAATGGTTGAAAAAACAAAGTCAAGGTGTTGCAATGACCCAGTTAAAATACAGACTTCAACCTGACTGAAATACTGTGGTGGGACCTTAAGAGCGCTGCAAATGCCTGCAAACCTCAGTGAAATGAAGCAAAGTTGTAAAGAGTAGTAGGTAAAAGTGCCTTGAGGCAACTGTTGATGTGATTTGGCGCTATATAAATAAAATAAAATAAATCTGAATTTAAAACTTCCTCCACAGCAATGTGAGAAACTGATAGTCCAACACAAAAGGATTACTTCAAGTGATACATGTGGTTCTGTTGAATTACAGGGTGTACTTAGTTTTTCCGAGGACTGCAGTAAGACTTGTTAAAAGCTTTTTCACGTGACTATATGTGGCGATCCCAGCTGATAGGAACATCAGAAAAAAGGATTTGTTCCTAGATTTTTCTCTCTTGCTTGAATGTTCATCATCAAAAATCAGGATTTAACGATTCCCTCATTTTTTCAGCTTTTAATTTGTTTCCATCTTAGAGGCCACTAAATGCCCATCGCATTGCCACCAACGCACGGAGGCGCTAGATCACTTAAAGCATCGATCCTGTCCCTGCATTGACTTGAACAATTTGACATCAGACATGTAACTCGTTCAGATTCCCCCTCCTTCTCCACCACTCTCACTCTTTCCCTCTCTCTCTCTCACTGTCCCTCTCTTTCCCTGTCTGTCTCTCTCTCCTCGTCTTCAGCTGTATGTCTCTCAGTCACTCAGTCAGTCAGTGAGTTGCCCGGGTCCGCTACGCCTGCGTCCGCCTCCGCAGCTCTCCAAAGCCGAGACGCGCCACCGCCGCCGTCATTGCGGGCATGACATACTGGCATCAGTAGTGGGCTTCCGTCAGGCTGCTTTTAAGAAAATTACAAAGGAGAGGAAGAGACACAAGAGTAGAGGAGAGTGAAGTGACTCATTTCCACCCGAGCTTGTGCGTTGAGAAGAGTAGATGAGCCAATGGCTGGGGCACAGCCGGGAGTTCATGCGCTGCAGCTCAAGCCAGTGTCCGTACCCGAGAGCCTAAGAAAGGGCAACAAATTTATGAAATGGGATGATGTAAGTAGTGGCCAGACAGGCCAGCGATGAATGTCTTTTTTTTCCTCCCCAGTTTTCACTGTCAGATCATTTTCTGCACGCGTTTTGCATGTACACAGTCTGTGTATTACACAATCTATAGGCTACTCGTGCAACAGTAGCCGATAGATTTAATTGTAAGTGGAAACCGCACGGACAAGAAGCTAATTGCGTTGGACTTCCTGCTTAGTGGTTGAAAGAAATGCTACAGCTACAGTGTCTACTGACTTGTGCTTTCTTTACATTATCCAATGTACAGTATTTGTATTTGTGCGCGCCAGTGGGTGCACGCGTGTACCGCTGCTTGTGTGTGAGAATGTGCGCACCCTCATCTAATCAAACACTAACCCCCCTGCGTTAGAAACGTTTTTATCAATTAACCACAATTAATTAGTGCACTGACATTCAACATGCAAATCTAAGCACAACAGTTGGTCATTAAAAAAAAGAAAAATATTTTGGGAATTTTTATTCTGGTAGCATCTCTATATAAAATGTCGGTCCAGCTGTAGTAAAATGACCTTGATTGAACTGATTTCACACTGCTCTTGAGTAAAACATAATAGTAATAGCCTTCTAGCAACAGAGGCTATGGCCACACTATGTGGCACATTGCTTTCCCAGGCAATAAATCAACACAAATCAACACTCCCTCTAATAATCTTGTGGCAAGTTCACAACTGAACTGCGCTCTGAACTGAGTTTAACATGGCTTGATGGTTATTTGCATCTTCTGTACCTTAGTTTTTACAGCAGCTGCATTCAGAAAGAGCTGGAATAGCTGTTTTCACACCCCATGCCATTTGAATATCCACTTGTTACTCTGGTTTATGAGTGAATATCTGAATTTTGTCACAGTCCCCATTACTTTCGTTCTGGGAAATCTGTTAATTTTAAACCGCTCTGTGAAAATGCTGAGGGCTTAGCCCACCTGTAACTCATTTTTACAGTGCCTTGACTTTTCTAATACTGTAGACAATGAGGAATCGGTTACTAAGATACACTCTTTCTAAGATCATCCTCTCAAATACATGCTCAGAATCACTCAGCTCAGGTGAGCCAAGTGCAGCACAGATGGCATTAGTCTTGCAGTGTTATGGAAGTGTGAATGCGGTCAGTACAGACTGCAGAGAGGAAATTATGCACACTTGCAAGTCCACCATTCTGTCAATCATCAACCTTAAGCTTAAATAAGAAAGTTTCCTTAACTAGTAACTACTAATGTGCGCCCATTCCTTCAGCTCATTAGATGCGACTCAGTTTCCCCTTTCACAGCCGTGTTTGTGTACTTTTAGCATGTACATTCAGGACTATCGTCAGACCCAAATGTCCACCAGGCCTTTCCTTGCAAAAACATATGACCTCAAACACAGGCATAGTCACAGGTACTTTCTCTGGTTCCTTTCCCATGCGCTCCTTCCTTCCTCTTTCCTCTCTGTATCATTTCATGGAAAGAATCACAGAGGATAAACAGCCAACCTGAGAGAGCAAAGCTAATAAATTTTCACTGGAGAAAGATTGAATTAAATCATTTTTCTTCTTTTTTATTGCTTTGGGTGTTGAGTTGAACATCTTTCAGCAGGAAATTGTACGGGCAGTAAATGAAAAATTATATGTATGTTCTTTAATTTATGGCTTTACTCTGGTGAAGATTTCTTGTTCTCTCAGTTGAAGTCACACATATATTCCAAAATGCTTAAACTCACCTGGGGAGTTGGGCAAAAAACAGTGTGAAGTTCTGTGCTGCGTAGCCAGCAGCCATGAGTTTTGAGCAGCAGAGTGACTGCAGACTCCAGCACAGGATGCTTGCAGGTGGTTGTAAAGGAGCAGAAAAGCAATCAGAGAAGCTCTCCAAAGCCTCAAAGGCCTCAGACCTCCCCAACCTCCCTCCTACAGACGTGCGCAGACATCTTGTATTTTTGTTGCTGCCACTTGTCGACAGCTGGCTGCTTCTGTGGCTCATGAAATCCATGGGTACGGGTAAAATATTGCCTGGATGTGTTATTATTTGTCAGTTCAGATGGCACATTTAGCAATAATGACTGCTTTCCGTTGAGGCACAGGGAGCCATTCAGATTCTCCAGCACATACACACTTCATGTTATAAGGATCATTTACTGTACACCTGGGCACGGTGTCAAATTTGTGAAAGACGATGCTTGGTCTGTGTAAACAGAGACTTTTATGAGGTTATACTTATATCAACCCCTCTGGTCGGTTGTGCATTGAATAAGATATTATCAGGCTCCTCAGGGGAGCAGAAAATCCCTTAAAAATAGTAGAATATGTCATTAGCATACAGAACAGAAATATGCTGAGCTCAAAACTCCCCTCTAACACACCCCCTCAGGCAGCAATGCTAATGGTACAGACTCTTCACTAAAAATAATGGAAGTGTCTCCTGCCTGGGATCAGTTCCTTCAGGGTGTTTGTACTTTCGCAAGTCAGTCACTAATCTCATCTTAATTCAGCAGAAAGCAGGCCACTCTGCTGCCTAATGTTGTCCCATTAAAGACAAATCCCTTAAAATAGACCAATGACAATAAAAAAACCCAAAAAAAAAAACATTGGCGAGTACTATTCTGCCGGTAGTCACTCTGAAGTTAAATCCCACCTTTAAGTACTTCTTGTTTCTGTGTAAATGTGAAAACCCATGAGAAAATCTTTGCTAAGAGTCCATAATGGCTTAATGTGTTTGCAGTGGTGGCCATGGAGAGCTAGGACATTAAGAAAGAAGCTGGTGAAAATGACTGCTCTCACATCATTAGGCAGTTTCCCAGTGCTCTCGAGCCTTCTTCTTTTCTCAGACATGACAGACAATCCATCACTTGCATCGCATCTTATCCCCCGAATGACTTCTTGACTTGGTTTACTGGAAATATAAATGACTTGCTAAATATTCTTTGATCTAGCTCGCTATCATTTTCTTGAATTTTTCTAAAGATATTTATCTGTAAAAACTAAATTGGAAAAATTGGACTGTGGATGGTGAGCTGAGCAAAGATCATGAGATATGAGCCAGATTTGGTCTGAAATGCTATATCTAAGAACTGCAAACATGATGCTTTTCCCTTTCCTTTAGGCTATAAACTGTGTGTGTGTGTGTGTGTGTGTGTGTGTGTGTGTGTGTGTGTGTGTGTGTGTATGCGGCATGCATTCATTGACATGAACCGCATCTTTTGTCATTCAATCAAGCTTGCAAAGATTGTGCAATCATGTGAACAAAACCAAAACGATTCCTCTTGAGTCTCTAATAGATTTCATGGGAATGGTGGGTTGCCATAGCAAACGTCACCGTAGCAAATGCCTCTGATGCCTAACTGTTTCCAAAACCGAACGAGCCGCTCATTTACTTTCAGCTCACTTCCCTTCTTTCGTCTTTCCCCGTTTTCCCCTCCTCTCTTCCTCCTGTATTTTCACTGTTGGCCTATATTGGATAAACCATGATTGTGACATTTAGACAGTATGAAATGACTGAAATGACTCATAATGGTTAAATACATTACAGCATAGGCTCCTTTGCTGTCTACCAGCCCAACCTTTTCCCAGCATCCTACGCTGCAAGTCGCATAAGGTCGCGCCCAAATAAGACAAGTGTGGAGCAGATGCAGACCATTAGCTCTGTCTCCAAATGCTCTGATAGGGACATCATTAGAAGCCTCATGAAGACACTTTGAAGATTTTCTTGCTCTGTGCAGCAAATGCGGTCCTCATCTCTCTGATCTTGCAGCCATGGCTGATTGAAGAGGACAATATGCTACTGTTCAGCTGAGCCACAGCCACTGTGGACACAGAAAAAAGGCAATGGCTCTTTCTTTCTTTTTATAGACACATCCAATAATATCTGGTGTTGCCATGTATGCCTCAGGGTCAAACTGTGTGTGTGTGTGTGTGTATGTGGGAGAGAGAGACTTGGAGCTATCTGTATGTAACTGTGGGAAAGCATTTGTCCATTACAAGAGGGGAAAATTGAAACATCAACTCCAAATCAACCTGCACTTCGTGATTGCAGTCACTGCAAACACACACGCACACCCCAGGCTGCTTGGTCATTTTGCGGTGATGCCAGGTCGTGGTGTGGAAAGTACCCTAAAAGGAAAGGATTGAGTGCATGTTTACAACATAAACAGCACTTTTGATGTCATTTCAAATTCTGGTATGCGAGTGGATAAAACAAACTATGCTTTGATCTTGGTTCCCTCGGAGAATTGTCTGCAGTGAGGTATTCACTCATGTTGAAATTCAGATGTTGATTTACAGATTTAAACAGACGCGTGTCTTTTCTTCTTCACGACAGGATTCAACCACTGTGACCCCGGTGACTCTGACAGTTGACCCCAAAGGTTACTTCCTGTATTGGACTGACCAGAGCAAGGTGAGACACCACGGCAGGAAGGCCAGATGGTTTGAAGCCTTCAAGCCGTTAAGATGTTTAAAGCCCCTTTCGTTGTCATCTGAATGTCATTTGATGATGAAATTCAGATCCGTGGGACCAAATTTAAAGCTTATCACAGCAGCACCAACAGTTTCCCTCATCTCTGCTTTGACATCTGCACAGTGCTTTGTACCAGCCTGATATATAATAGACAGGCCAATGTCCATTTCACGCGTTTCCTCTCCAAAACCTGAAATGTACAAGTAATGTACAAGTTGCCGCAAAGTGCAGTAACAGCAGGGAGATATTTTATTTCAAGCCAACAGGAAAATAGTCACAGGAAAGTGTTTGAACAGACACTATTAAAACATTTACATTTATATACATATTAGCCACCTAACTTGATCATTTCTGCCGATAAAGGACCCTGCAATGTTCTTAATACATTTTATGCTCACTACCGGCTTTGTGGCTTTAAATATACTATCTCCCCCTACTGGTAATGCAGTTTCTGCATGCAGGAACAGCTTCTGCGCTTTGCCTCTCCAGAACGTGAAATGGACACGGTGGACCGCCTGTTATGAGTTTTGTCATGATACTGGGTTGTTTGTACACGATACAGGACCTACCTGGACTGTCTGTACATAACTGATTGGCCAGCACAGTAAATTGTTATATATCTTATGACAGGCAGGTATAAACTTACTGTTTTCCTAGCATATTCTCACAGAGCTTTTTTGTCTGTATTCTCCATTTCACTGACAGTACAGCAGCATTGTCAACCTGAAAGCTTTCACGGCACCAACTTCTCCACATTTTTTACTCGTCGTCTTCGTAGGTGTCGGTGCAGCACTTTCTAGTACTGTCACATTTCATTATGAGAAATGGGGTGTTTAGTTTGCTGCTGTTTATTTGCATAAATTTGAAGTTTAGGCTAGTTTATGCAAATCGGCAGCATCCAGCATGGCTCGGCATGCCTGGAAACTCCCCAACAAAGCGAACTGTTGTGTATCTGAAATAAAGACAGAGCAGTCACTTGCATCCGTAGCTTTCAAAAACATTTCAATGGTATAGAAAGTTAGCAAACGAGCCCCAGTGACAGTTTCTGAGAGCAGAGAGAACTTAAAGTTGTGGCAATGGCTTAGCTGTCAGCTTTTGAATACTATAGCTCAGCACCAAGCATTAAAAACACACCTCTGTGGACACTAACCATCAGTGAGCAGCGAAGGAAGTAAAAGCCAGACCAAGTGTGAGAATCTGTTGTGTCGTTTATGTCGTAAAATCATAAAATGACTGACAAGAGACAAAAACTGACGACGTCGCTGCTGTCTCGATTTGTTTGGCATGAATATGAGCACAATTCAGAAAAAGGGACAGTCGACTGAGTGTGTGTCCACAGAAACAAACTAAAATAGACACTGTGTTTAAAAACTGCATAAGATATAATCTCTCCTCATGATACTTGTCAGCTCTCAGTGAAGGGCTCCCTAAACATTTGGAGTCTGCCAGGTTCTGCTGGAGGTTTCTTCCTGTTAAAAGGGAGTTTTTCCTTCCCACTGTTGCCAAAGTGCTTGCTCATGATTGTTGGGTTTTTCTCTGTCTGTATTATTGTAAGGTCTGCCTTACAACATAAAGCACCTTGAGGAAACTGTTGTTGATTTGGTGCTGTATAAATAAAACTGAATTGAATTGAATAGTGACAGTGGCTCAGGCTTGAAAACCTGCTCTATTACCACTTCAGAGGCATTTAAGACAGTTATTTGAAAACATTGACCTTTTCCATTTACTACTGCCATTCAACAATCCAGTACTTATTACCATAGCAGCACCATTAGAATTCGTGGCAACCACATTCGGCATTCCCTTTGTAATTATCATGGTACACCTAGGATTATTATCGAGAGATCACAGGCGCTCTAGGAAGCATTTAGGCGCTCAGAAATTGCTTTCTTAGCTGAAAGGCCTGCAGCAGAGCACAGTTAGGCTTAGATGGTCTTTTTCCAGCATTGTGATGATTTTTTTTATCGTTTGTTTGTTTGTTTTGCTCTTTCTGAGCCATTCAAGCATGATTTTTTAAGTTCTTTCAGTTAGCTTCCAGTTAGATTCCTTAAAAAAGGATTTGAGGGTGTTCTGGTCCAGTTTCATTTGAAGAACTTTCTTGAAAAGGAGACAGAAATCTAAACTGGCACACCTGCAGTGCTGCAACCGACACCTGTGAGAATATTGCATAGTGCATTGTGTTTTTCCAACATTCCAGTTGTAGCTAAATGTTTCATAATAACCAGGAACAAGGTAGCGAAACGTAAGATAAGAAACGCTATCACGTTCAGTGATCTTATTAAGCACTTCCTCCCAGTTTAACCTTGAGAGCATGTGCAGAATCTGCTGAAGGTTTAACAGTTTGTTCTGTTTATTTGAATGTACAGCTGCTGAGCACAAGGACTTGAACACAAGCATGAAATTTCCCCTCTGTACACTTACCTCTGAACACAAACACACATCCACACATAATGGTAAATGGCCTGTATTTATATAGCGCTTTACTAGTCCCTAAGGACCCCAAAGCGCTTTACACATTCAGTCATCCACACATTCACACACTGGTGATGGCAGCTACATTGTAGCCACAGCCACCCTGGGGCACACTGACAGAGGCGAGGCTGCCGGACACTGGCGCCACCGGGCCCTCTGACCACCACCAGTAGGCAACGGGTGAAGTGTCTTGCCCAAGGACACAACGACCGAGACTGTCCAAGCTGGGGCTCGAACCGGCAACCTTCCGATTACAAGGCGAACTCCCAACTCTTGAGCCACGATCGCCCCATAATCCATGATTGTACCTGTCCTGCTGTTTTTGGAACAGAGAAAGGATCCCAGTATATTGGTAGCCTATTGTAAATGAATCCAGTATAAGTGGGAAAAGAGATAAAGTCTTTAGTTCTGCTACAGTTTTACCGAACACTCAATGAGGAAAGAAAAGAAGACCACTTTTGATGTCTACCGCATTTTATGTTGTGGGTGCGTGTTAAAAGTGGGAATTTGCGGTCAGAGATAACCAGCACCGAGTGTGATTCTCCACTAAAAGAACTGAAAGAAGCTCGTTGACACCAATTCATCATTGTTTCCTGTGCCTCTGTCATAAGGCGAGGATTTTGACTGATGAGGCTCTTGTGAGTGTGTGTTTATGCGTGTGGGTGTCTGCTCTGTCTCCCAGCGTTGAGAACAGTCCTGCCGCACACATAATAACTCAAATTGATACCAAGCACAGCCCAGACAAAACTCTATTAGGGCATAAAGAAAGGCACCCGCTGTATTCCTGTGTGCCCCTGTCAAGGCAGAAGTGTGCCTTCTCATGTTTATAAAGATACCTTGGTGCTTTTGCTAACATTTATTCACGACTGTATTGCACATCTGTTGAACAGACCAATTTAAACAAGCTATGATGCTCCGTCTACTTGTTATATGTGTGTGTGTGTGTGTGTGTGTGTGTGTGTGTGTGTGTGTGTGTGTGTGTGTGTGTGTGTGTTTGTGAGAGACTCAGTCTGATGGCCTGCAGAGTAAAAGCATTCTTCGGATTCTTCAGAAGCACAACAGAACTGTACTCGGTGTGCCTACTGCGCTGACTTTCAACACACATTGCCAGTGACAGTTGCAGTTAACTGCTGCTTTTGGCTTCTTACAAGATTCACTAAAGACATTTAGCCAAAAGTAAGGAGATAAGATTAAGAGTATTTCCTCCTTGTTAAGGATAAATATTTTTTCTTTTAGTTAACACAAATAATAATACATTTCAATGATAGTGTTAGTGGACAGGAGGTTAACTTAAATCACAGTTTCCCCTGAGACAAATTGAAAATAAACCTACAGCTAATTTGAATCAACTTTGGAGACATTTATTTACATTAGGCTTCAGTCACACAGATTAGAGACCGGTGGTTAAACCTACAGCAACCTCTGGGGAGAGGGGTCGTCCCCCAGTGTGCCAAATATGTGTATTTCCCAACCAGTTGGTGAGCAGGCTGTGAAAACCTTCACATTGCTTTGGTCCCCTACAATTTGCATGGAAGATGCTGACTTGTCTGCAAACACTACTACTACTTTACTAGTCACCAACTAGCAAAACCTAAAAAAGTTGTGCCTCATTTTTAAAAGGCGCAGCTTTTACTTTGAAAGGAGGAATCTTCATTTCCAGTTTGCGTCGCTCTTTACAGTTTCACTTAGAGCACAGGTGTCGAACTCCAGGCCTCTCATCAAGATGTGTCCTTGATCCAACACAGCTGATTTAAATGGCTAAATGACCCCCTCAACATGTCTGGAAGTTCTTCAGAGGCCTGGTAATAAAACTAATCATTTGATTCAGGTGTGTTGACCCAGGGGCATATCTAAAACCTGCAGGAAACCAGCCCTCGAGGTCTGGAGTTCGACACCCCTGACTTAGAAAGTAGATGGCGAGTGGACGTCTTCCACGCAAACTATAGAGGACAGTGGCAACTTTCTAGTGACCAAAGTAATCACATGGAGGCTTTCAGTCCAGCGCCGTATACCTTTTTGCAGTCAGTTTCGCTGAGCGATTGCCAACAACCATTCATCAAGCAGTTGGGGAATGCACATATTTCCTTACTGACTTGCGGTTGTCAGGGGGGTGCCAACCAGTATCTGAGGTTTTTAGTAATCAGTTTCATAGACAGCTAGCAGCCTCCCACAACCAAATACCAACTGGTTGGTAACAATGTTAAGAGAACAATGTCCCAATCCAATATTCTTGAATATCACAGTATCCCCGTTTCAGTCGTTCCTGTGAAGTTAGAAACACTGAAAACTAAATGCAGGCAAGCACAACGAGCTTTTTTCCCCTCAAAAATGAAGTTGAATATACTGAACTTGAATTTTTTTCATCATCATATTTTGAAGGGCCATGCTTTACAACTGAAATGCCAACATTTTGATTCCCAGTCGATCCCCCTGAACCCGAATAAAATGATTAAACATAAAGGAAGCAA